CAGTCTTGAAGGAGTTACACTGGACTCTCCTGTCAAAAAGAAAGAATCAAACTGACTTTAAAAAAATGTAGCAGTGGTGATGTATTAACACCAATATGCTTGCTTGAGCTACTGGCTTGAGGACAATCAAAAACCAGCCAGTGAGACATAATTTATATTTGCTGATCTATAAGCAAGATCCCATATTAAAATGACAAAATGCTCTTTAGTTTCAAACAAAGAAAATTTGCAGGAGGCTTTAGTACAAAAGGGGTAATGTGTTTGTATGAATTATGCTCCTACAATTTTTTTTAAAAAAATTAGATCTTTGACCCAATACATAATGGAACTTGAGCCACAATATAGAATGTATAATAAAACATTAACTTATCAACTTGAGGTCATTGTTTGCTCTATATGACCAGGTTTAATTAAAATAGTTGACTTTTTCCCCATTTCCTCTACCACAAAAGCCAGTTTAGTGCACATTGGAAGGAAAGAAAATAGCACTGCATATATAATACTCATGTCATGATTCTGAAAGAAAATAATACATCTATTTATTGAGACATAAAATGCTAAAATAAATATTTAAATAGAATAGAACAGAATAGAATATTTTATTTGGCCTAGTGGGATTAAATAAACAAGAAAATCGTCTCTGGTGCAGAAGCTCTCAGTGTACATGCAAAAAAGCAGCAGAATAATGAAAATCATAATAATACCAATAAGAGGGGATAATAAGGATAGTAAGAAGGATAATAATGCTACAGTCATGTTACTTGGGTAATTACATATACACATTAGACAGCAATGTGAGAATTAGGTGTTTAGCAGAGTGATGGCACAAGGGAAAAAAACTGTCTAGTTGTCTTGGGATGCAATATCTTATAGCACCCTCCCGAGAGAAGGAGTGGAAACAGTTTGTGTCCAGGATGTGAGGGGTCTACACTTACTTTCTCAGCCCTCCTTTGACCTGGACAATATACAGGTCTTCTATGAAGGCAGGCAATTATTATTTCTGCAGTCTTAACTACCCATTGGAGTTGGTTGCTGTACCAAACCAGACAGTTATAGAACTACATATGACAGACTCAATAAAAGTGTAAAAGTGTATCAACAGCTCCTGGGGCAGTCTTAACTTCTTGAGTTGATGCAGGAAAAACATTCTTTGTTGTGCCTTTTTAACGATGGTTACAATGTTAAGTGTCCATTTCAAGTCCTGGGAGATTAAAGAACCCCAAAATTTGAAGGACTCCACTGTTGATACTGTGCTGTTGAATATGGTAAGAGGTGGTAAAATAGAAGGGCTCCTCCTAAAATCCACTCTCATCTCTAGTTTTAAGTGTATTCAGTTTTAAGTGTTATGTTATGTGAAGAAATGTTAATAGATTGCAAGAACCTATGGAAGTATCAAGCAAAATAAATTAAGAATACAGAAAAATTATGAATAACTCACTCTTACCAGTGCATGCCGACCTTTCTCATTTATCAGCCCGAAGACTGAAATCCAGCAAAGCCCCACTGGCACTTGCACAACATCTGCCCAACTTTAACATGGATTCCTGACGGAAAGCCAAAGGGGGGGGGGGCTGAATGCCCTGACATAGGAAAACATATAACTGACTCCACAAAAAAGATGCCAGGCTTTGAACTACCATGCCAGCAATGGACAATTCGGAATAGGATTCACATCTCACACGGCGTCTGCAGAGGCTTTCTGTATTAATGAGGCATACATTACAAAAGATAAGCCTAATTTGCTAGACTACTGTAGTGATTGTGCACCATTTACGAGTAAACGTGTGATGAACTGCACATGTTAAATTACTAAAATTATAATATGTTATAAGTTATCTTATAAAACTTATAACTTATATTATAAAATTATAATATAAGTACATTATAAGTGAGATTTCCATATTTGTCAACATAAGAGCAATTCCATTGATAAAACTCAAATATGCTGCTTGTATGACTATATATGCAAAAAGAAGACACAATCTTAGAACATTTAATTACAGAAGATGGTTCTTGCTATTTTAACTACTGCAGAAGGAATGATGACTCTTCTTTAACCTTGCTATAAAGATTAGAAGACAGCTGTGAAAACAAGCACATTCTATACATATCCATCCCTTCTCAAAAGCAATTCCTATTCCCTTTTAACTGCAGCAAAGAGAAACTTCAGTATCAGAATTAATCACACAAATGTGAAATAATATTTCTGTTGAAACCAAATCTGGCAACCATATTCAGTCAAGTTTCTGCTTTTATCAAACTCTGCTAAGTTTAATAGCAGCAATCCTTAACTGATGGGTCTCATGTGGTCTCTAGCATTCTTTTGTAATATACCATCAAAATCTGGCAAAAAGAACTGGCTGTTTTCCACAGCATAATTCTTCTTTCTCTAATATAATACTGAAAAGGTTAGCAGGTAGTCTCCTGGAAGACTATTCAATATTGCTAACAGACACCATGGCAAAGATTAAATATTTTACCTGATAAATTCAACATATTCTGCTCTTTTCCTGGCATTGCTACATTCAGGAATGTGTTTCTATCCGAACTAACCAAATTTTAAAAATTCCTTCATTTCCCAGATTATAACTCCAACTTTATCATTTTTTCCTGCCAAAGTCTATTATTCAATTTTGATGCCACTTCTGAACTGTTGAAAATATAGGAAATATAGTTGACATTGGGCCAGTCACTCTCTGTCAGCTCACCTCACCTCACCGGGTTGGGGAAATAGGAGGAAAAAAGAGTAGTTATGTTTGCCACCTTGAATTATTTATAAATAATAAAGGTGAGGTTTAAATAAAATAAATAAAATTTATGTATAAATCACCCTGAGTCATTATGGCTAAAAAGCAACTCACGAGGATAATGAAACTGCATTATAGCAGGCTCTTCTCTTTATATAGAGGACTTTATCAATTTGTTCTGGACTTATTTTTATTTGCAATAAGAATTTCATCTATTATGACTCTAGTCTTCTATAGATGGCCAGTACTATAACAGTATAACCCCCCAAAAGAACAACACCCTATTTCTATCATATGCCACATTTTAATTTTATACACATACATTTAAATATTTCCATTTGAAAGCTTTTCTCATGTTCTATTTCAAAAGTTACATATTTTAAAAAAATCAGCAACACATACAACAGTAATTATCCTCATAAAAATCATAATTAAAATAATAATTGATAAGATATACATCCTTCCTCTTCCCAAGCAGCAATGTTGTAATGGAGTCTCAATTAACTTGTCACCTATTCTCCAGATCTAGCTAGTAAGTTGCTCAATGCTATTTTTCTGCCAGATACAAAATAACTTTACTTGAACTACTTTGTTTCTCAGCCCTTCACTGTTCTTTTGCTAGTCAATATTTATTTTCCCTCTAGTTTTCAACAGTAATCTCATGCTCTAAGCTTAATTAAAGACTCCTAGTCTTTACAGGCTGCTAACTCTTCTCCTGTAGTTAACTTGAACATCCTGAAAAGCTTTTCTGAGCTTGAACAATACAAAATTTCTGGGCTATAGGCAGACAGAATGTCCTTAATACAGAGAGCTACAGATGAGAGGAGATAGTTAAGTGATTTAAGGATTCAAGTTTTCAGTGAAAAATATGTCAAGTACTGGAAAAATCTCCAAAATTCCATTAATGTTGCTATATATTTGATATACACCAACAGCCCAAAGCATAGTGATAAGTGCCACATTATAAATTGGCATTGAACACATTATCTGAAATTAGTGTATTTTTCATCCCTCTTCTGGTTTCTTTTATATTTGATCAATTACTGCAATTAAAAATGACTTAAATCTTGTGAATTTGAATATTTTTTTTCATAAATGTTAACAATTATCCATAAACAAAATGTTTGTTAGCTAATATGTTATTATGTTTAATCACTGAATTAGAACCAGATATTCTGCAAAATGAAGTTAAATTGGCCACAGGAATTGGTGAAGTATCAATAGAACTCTTAAATCTGATAAAAGGATGCAGAAAATAATTTTGTAAAGTATGGAAAACAACTGTGGCCAAGCGAGCGAAAAAAATCCATTATGTCTGAATACCACAAAAAGGTAATGTTAAGGAATGTTCTAACTAATAAACAATTGCATTATTAATATCCTAATAAGATTATGGCCAATATTTTGCAACACAGATTTTAATAATACATGGAACAAGAATTTCCAGATATACAAATGGATTCAGAAGAGATGATGGCACCCAAGATCATTTGGCTAATAGCCAATGGGAAATGAAAAAAGGGAGAGATCCAAAAACAATAATTTACAATAATTAATTATTTCTAAGCTTGGAAGGACAGATATGTTTTAACCATCTTCTTAAACAGCAAGATATTAGAAGCCAGAAACATCTTGAAAACATATTTCAATTCCAAACAATTGCAGGACTATTTCCAGCTGAATCAGCACTGTCTGGAGGAAGAATGGAATGTTTCAGAATTCCTTGGAACATTCTGTCTCTGAAATGTAACATTTAACACGCTTATAACTATTGCATGGCCAAATACACAAAAAGGGGTCTTAGACTTAGGCAATAATGCAGTGTCGACTACAGTGGTAACAAAAACAGGGCTTGACAGAAGCATAATTATCAATACGACTCTAAAGACTATGTGATCCAGGATAAAAATAACCAAGATTTATTATCGGCAGATAGAAGTGAGCATGATTTATGTTCATTTAAAACTTAAAACAAAGGAGGAAATGAAGGAAGAATTTAGATCATGGATGTCAAACTTGCAGTGTCACGTTGCTGTCATGTGATGTTTCATGATGTTTATTCTTCAACAAAATGGACAGGATTTGTACAAAACAATAAGCATGTAGTCAACTGCTATCTGTCCTTTAATTCTCTCTATAAACTGCTTAAACAGAGTTTAAGTAGTTCCTTAAATAAGCACCAAAATATAGTAAGACATTCTTGCTTTTGTTAGCAATGAGGCTCAGTTATGAAACATACATTTGTATACATACCAGCTAAAGTATAATCCATATCAAATCCAAAGCACTTTATTTTTTCCATGGCTAGACTTCTATTCACAAAAACCCTGCCAAAAAAAGGTAAGAAAACCAATAGTAAGTATTGTTGATATGAAACCTGAGTAAACAGCATGAGGAACACATATGCTTCAAACTATCCAAGAGTTATTAAGGGAACATGCCAATGGACAAAATGACCGAGATACATTTACAGTGATCCTGAGCACATTCACTTCGGAGCAAATGCCACTGGACTCAGTAGACTCATCTGGAAATAACTTTACACTGTACAGAACTGGGCTGTTAATCTCCTAAATGCAATAACATTGCTGGATGCTATCAGTAGTAGTTGTACTTAAAAGATTTTTAAGAGAGCCAGATTTTTCATTTATATAATATGTACGAATAGAATTAACACAAATTACAGATACTAATCAAAAATAAAGAAAAAAGGATGAAATAACTCTCATTTCTTTTAACTCAACGAAAATAAAAGCAATTTACTAAGAAGGTGTCATGCTGGTTGTGGATTGATAGTTTGCCTAGTAATTACATAAAATTGTTTAATATTATAATTATTCTCAAAATCAAGCCTATCTTATTGTATTATTAAATAATCTCTGATTTAAAAATGGCACAGAAATTACACTCTAATTCCACTAATATATAAATGCATAAAAGGTAAAGGTAAAGTTGTAGCAAGTTTTACCCCTGCTAGTTGTGACTGACTTTAGAGGGCAGTGCTCATTTCTGTTTCTTAAACCAAAGAGCCAGCATTGTCCGAAGATGTTTTGGTACTCATTTGGCCAGTAAGACATCATGCAGCAGCACAAAGCATATAGCAAAACATGAAATACTGTTACCTTCCTGCATGCTTATATGCAGTACCTATTCATTTACTTGCCTTTTCATGCTTTCAAACTGCTAGGTTAGCAGGAGCTGGGACAAGTGATGGGAATTCATTTCATCTGGCAGCACTTGGGTCTCGGACTGTCAAGGTATGGACCTCTAACAGTTTAAGACTCAACATCCTAACCACTGAGCCACTGTGCCCCTTATAAATGCGTAAAAATATATTCTGTACATTAAATTAATTTAAACCAATCCCTGGACTAGCAACTTTATATTCAAAAATATACACAATTGTTTTTGTAATATGCAATTCAGTTCTGAAGAAGCTTCTTGGATGAGAAGTGAAATGTTTGCAAGGAAAAAAACCAAAAAAGTCCAGTTGCCTCTTGAAAAGAACCTTTGGGACAACCATGACCCAAATGATTGAGAATCTCCATAAACTTTCCTTTCCTCCTTTAATATTTCATCCAATAAGTAGCATGTAAGTGCACCATTTATTACATCACAATGTTGTCATTCTATGCACTTGCCTCTCTCATTTCCATGCATTCTCTAGTTGCCTTTAGTTTAACTTTATGTCTGTCTATTCTTGGTTCTGAATTCATTTAAGAAATACTGATCTCTTTAGGCAACTTATCTGAACCTAATTTTCCCGGGCTTGCAAACTTCCTCTAATTCCCTTCTTGGCCTTACTCTCTCATGTACAGATTTAGACTAAGCCAAAACTTAAAACCAAGGAGGAAATGAAGGAAGAATTTAGATCATGGGTGTCAAACTTGCGGTGTCACGTGATGTTTCATGATGTTTTTCCCATTCGCGGAGCTGGGGTAGGTGTGGCCTTCACATGACATATCCGGCCTGCGGGCCACCAGTTTGACATTCCTGGTTAGATCCTTCAGCTAAATATTATTCTTCACACATTTATTTAAAACAATTATAGTAATCAGCATAAGAAATACTTTTGACTATAGCATACTACCAGAATCAATAATGTATTCACCAGTCAGCCACTGCTCATCTTTGTAAGAGATTTCAGTACATATTTCCTACAAGGCCCATTCCAGATAATAGTGCATCACTCTGAGAAATTCAGATCTTAATTTGCTGATGACACTAAATACATGAATATCAGATGCTTGGCTCCTCTCATTACTGTGCAATGCACTAACTTGAACAATTAGCGAATCTAATTGCAGATTCAATACAGCAATTCGGTTATTTCTAGTGTATTTCAAAAATTAAAGAAAAATCTTTTGAAGATCTTGCTTTTTTTAATTGCCCTATTAAATATATAATTGAAGGAAGGAAATTACTTGTTTGGGAAATATGCTTTAGAAAAGTAATTGGTTTTTTTATTAAATAAAGTACTGAAAATATGCATTCTATTATAAGACAAAGATTACAGTTAACTTTTGAAAGATTTCAGAGGAATTAATCAATCCAAATTGGTGGAATAATGCTTTCTGTATTAATGAAATAAATATACTACAAAGTCACTAACAGGCTTTTTGTATCTTTAGGTACTATTCAGATTTTCTTTTTAGATTTATAGAATAAAGAAAATTAAAGTAACGTTTCATTTATACAGGATTAAGAGGTATGCTAAATATTTAAAAAATGAACAAATATATCCAAAGATAGAGCATTATTAACTGCTTTTAACCTCAGAGATTTCCCTTCCAAAATTCAAGTACTATCTAAACAGCTAGTCTTAATATAAGACAATTTACAATTACAAACATTTGGATTCCAAACCGTTAACATTTAAGGTCAAACTATCATATATCTGCACTAACCAACTTACCTCATCATCTTATTTGGATGTTCTTCTTGTAAAATTTGTAGCTGTCAAATCCACGTTACCTATTTTTTAAAAAGCTCCCTTCCCCCATATATAAGCAATTTTTCTTTTTTCTGGCTGGATTTCAGCATAGCACTATGCGTGAAACAAACTGGGAGATGCCACGTATCTGTTTAGACAGTGCTAGAGAACACAGATCTGCAGCAAATTTAATAAGTTACAGGATATCACTGTTCAATACATCTCCGTTTGGAACAGAATCTCTCTGGCTATATGTTTTACCCTTAACTTTCAATGCAGCTCTAAGAGTCACAATTTCCTGGCAAGCTGCCTGTTTTGGCAGTGAAGCATAGAAAGTACAACGGTGGAATGAGATAGGAGGGAGGAGAGACAGTTAAACATGACAAAAGTTACACAACAGCTACCATCAAAATATACGAAAGGCACTATAAGAAATATTGCAAATTTATGATGCGCCGTATGAAACCCTTGGGATATCAACCGAAAGGCAGCATTGCTAAATATCATCATGGCTTTGAATAAACAAGATATGATTCATCTTTTTCATACACAAGTTAGACGGTTTGATCTTTGGCAACAGGATCATCACAAAAAGGCTGTGGGGCTTTTTTGTACCCTCTCAGGATTCTCCAGGTATAAATATAGATATTAGTTTGTAAAGTAAAATTTCATTTTACTTTACAAACTAATATCTATGTTTATATCTGGAGAATCCTGAATACAACGGTCCACAGAATTTGAGTTCTTTCTGACAGTTTAGGAATCTCATCTGAAAAGCAGGAGACTGAAGAAATTGCATGTTCAAATCCACAACCAGTTAACAGTCTGTTTGGACAGAACAGTATTGGGGTGGTAAGCGCACCACCACAATTAAATAATTGTTCTCTCTGCACTAGAAGGGTTTGTTCCAACCAGATAATGTGGAAGAAATAATATGGTTCCTTCTAATTTTACAGAAACTTCTTCCTTCATACAGCTAATCTCAAAAACGAGTAATTTTAACACTATGTAGGACAGCAAGGAAGAACTAATTTGTGGTGATAGTTAAAACATCAGGCTACAAACCGGGAGACCATGACTTATAATCCTGACTTAGATATAAAGGCAGTTGGGTGATTTGGATTCAGGCTCTTTCTCTCAGCCATAGGAATCAGGCAATGGCAAACCTGAGTTGAAGGAACATGCATGCCTGCACACATACACAAAACAAGGAAAGAGACATGTTTGAAAATGTCCCTTTTCCCCCGACATATTTTGCCTTTTTTCTACCCGAGTCCTCCAGACTCAGAGAATATGATCTTGCTCCATGCCAGATAGATGGTGTCTCTCTTGGTGTCTCTCTGAATACTTAACAATTTTGTGGTGATCAGCATGGCAGCAAATAAGGACTACTGAACAGTTCTGATGGTTTTTATATACAAAGGAGACTATTTGGAATATAGAAAAATATTCAGATGCACTTTTTTTTAACACAAGCAGATTCTATAGTGGATTTGTCCTTCCACAAAATGTTGAGTATTAGCTTGTAAGGATTAGAGGCAATGTCACTTAGAATGATTGAATGAGGGTTATACTAGGGATACAGGCCAAGAGATAAATATTCCTTGAAATCAGTTCGTGTTTAGTTCTCTCCCACAAATGGATTGAAGGCATTGCTCAATATTGCCCAACCTGCATTGTATCCTCTAAGGTTCTGGTCTAGATAAATATTTCCCTAGATAAATAGCTAGGATAAATACATAGATAAATAGCTTTGATCCTTAGCAGCCAGGATACTTAGATTATAATAGTGTTTAATTCAGGGCAATCACTGGAAGGCCATTCATATATATATATATATTGTCTCATGGAAACAATACAATTTACCAATTATTTATCTTCCAGCCCACATATGCCAACTGAATTGGATAATAAAAGTAATATTTGATAATGATGTACTGCTAAGCTGGAAATGCTTACTTTTCTATGCTATTTCTTTTAATTACTAAATAATGAAGAATATTGTAAGGGAATTCCAATAATAACTCAGAGTCACTTGGTGAAGAGATGAGCAGTCTAGAAATGTAATCAAACAACCAACAGTACAATATACCTATGTGGGCACTTATAAGGTAAAGGTAAAGGTTCCTCTTGCGCATATATGCTAGTTGTTTACGGCTCTACGGGGCGGTGCTCATCTCTGTTACAAAGCCGAAGAGCCAGGGCAGTCCAAAGAGGTCTCCGTGGTCATCTGGCCGTGGCTGGCATGACTAAATGCCAAGGGCACATGGAACGCTGTTACCTTCCCACCAAAGTGGTCCCTATTTTTCTATTTGCATTTTTACATGCTTTTGAACTGCTAGGTTGGCAGAAGCTGGGACAAGTATCACGAACTCACTCCATTACGCAGAGCTA